AACAAGAAGTGCAAGCGTTACTTCAATGAGCATTGGAAAGAGGAGTTCACCTGGCTGGACTTTGACTATGAGCGAAAGCTGATGTTTTGCCTTGAGTGCCGCCAGGCCCTGGTGCGGAATAAGCATGGCAAAGCTGAGAACGCCTTCACGGTGGGCACTGACAACTTCCAGCGCCATGCCCTGCTGCGCCACGTGACCTCGGGGGCTCACCGCCAGGCTCTGGCTGTCAACCGTGGCCAGCCCACTTTTGAAGGCCAGGCTGAGGGAGGAAGGGCCTACTCAGGCCTGGCCAACACCCCCACCTCCAGGGGCGTCAAGGTGGAGGTGGACCCGGCTAAAGCAGCTGTGCTAACCACAGTGTACTGCATGGCCAAAGAGGATGTGCCCGATGACCGCTGCTCTGCCCTGCTCGAGCTACAGAGGTTCAACCTGTGCCAGGCACTGCTGGGCACGGAGCATGGCGATTACTACAGCCCCAGGAGGGTGAGGGACATGCAGGTGGGTGGCAGCCAGAGGTATGGGGGAGGGTTTGGGGAGGGAGGACATCAAGCCATCTGGGCACAGCGCCAACATGCCAGGCCCTTGGACAGCAGCCAGAGAACTTCATTCATACCTTCACCCGTCAGAACCTTCAGTGAGGGCATACTGTGTGCCAGGCCCTGGGCCAGCTGCTGGGGACACAACAGTAAAGCAGCCAGACCAGGCCCTGTCCTCGGTACTCCCCTCACTACCTAGGCCAGATTGCAGACTGGTGGCCCGTTGGTTTCATCGGCCCACAGATGTGTTTTGTTGGTTTTCACAGTGTTTTTGAAAAACTTAAGTTAGCTCCCAAGTTTAACAAAATGAGAGTTTACATATAAAAGTCTGGTTTTGTGACTTCCACTGAAAAGCTAGGTCCCCGTGCTCTCATGGCATGAAGTGATGGAGTTGGGGAGCAGGCATGGGCTTCCCCATTCCCTTTGCTTTCTTTATCCCTGGCCCACTTCAAGGTCAGTATTACCCACGTGGCCACTGAGGACATGCAAATTGCAGCTCTGTCCTAGGTACTAGCTGTATGAGTCCTAGGGGCTGATGTGGGGGTGGGGGAGTTGATCTCATTTTTATGGAGAGATAACAGACAAATAGAGCACACAGCTGGGGCCCTGTGTCACTGGTTGGGAGTTGGGAGTAAACATTTCTATCAGTTAATCCCTGAGCAGCAGAGTGGAGGGAGACCCCAAGGAATAAGGCAGACTGGGTGATGCTATAGAAACACATACCAAGTGCTGTAGAACCTTTATGGTTCAGAACACATTTTACATTTATGAGCACAACAACAAAAAGTTACATATATATTCACAACAACCTTTTGAGGAGATTAAGGGCACGTGTTAGCCCAATTTTAGAGCTGAGAAAACTGAGGCTCAGAGAGGTGAAATGACTTGCCCAAGGTCACACAGCCATTAAGTGGCAAAGCTAGGATTAGTCCCTAAGTCTGTCTGACCCCAAAGTCTGTGCTCTTCCTCTCACCCTGTTCTGCCTGCCTCTCCGCCTCAGGACAAGCCTAACTCTGTCCTCCCTCCCTTTCTCTCTCTGGCTGTCCCAGGTGGCTATTGCCAGTGTCTTGCACACAGAGGCTTGCCAGCGCCTGAAGTCATCCCCATATGTGGGGCTGGTGTTGGATGAGACCAAGGACTGGCCTGAGTCCCACAGTCTGGCCTTGTTTGCCACTTCAGTGTCCCCCTGCGATGGCCAGCCTGCTACCACCTTCCTGGGCAGTGTGGAACTACAGGAGGATAAGGCCACTGCTGGCCAACTCCTGGACATCTTGCAGGCCTTCGGCGTGTCTGCACCCAAGCTGGCCTGGCTCAGCTCGAGCCTCCCCAGTGACCACCTGGGAAGTGCGGGCCGGCAACTCCGGGCCACCTGCCCACTGCTCACCGAGCTACACTGCCTCCCTGGCCGGCCAGATCCTGAGCCCCCTGCCTACCTAAGTGAATATGAAAGTGTACTGGATGCCCTATTCCGCCTCCATGGTGGTCCCAGTTCCCACATGGTCCCTGAGCTCCGAGCAGCACTGGACCTTGCAGCTATTGACTTGGCAGGCCCACGGCCAGTGCCCTGGGCCTCCCTGCTGCCTATCGTGGAAGCAGTGGCTGAGGCTTGGCCTTGCCTGGTGCCCATACTAGAGGCCTCAGCCCCAGCCTCACCTACAGCTAGGGCACTGGCCCTTGCCCTTCGCCAGTTCACCTTCGTGGCCTTCACCCACCTGTTGCTGGACACACTGCCCTCGGTGCAGAAGCTCGCCCTTGTCCTTCAGCCAGAAGAGCCGGACTTGGCCTTGCTGCAGCCCCTGGTGATGGCAGCTGCAGCCTCCCTCCAAACGCAGGGCAACTCGGGTGGCGCACACCTCCAGGGTTTCCTGCAAGAACTGGCATCCTCCGGCCCCGACTTGATTGGTGGGCGCTGCACCTACCGCGGCGTGGAGCTAGTCGGCTATTCTGAGGCTGCGGTCCGGGGCTTGGAGCAGCTGCGGGGGTCCTTCTTGGACTCCATGCAGATGGGGCTGCGGGACTCCTACCCCAGGCCGTCTCTGGATGCCGTGGCCGCCTTCGCCACGATCTTCGACCCCCGCCTCTATCCGCAGGCGCCCGAGGAGCTGGGCGCGCACGGCGAGGGGGCGCTGAGGGTCCTGCTGCGCGCCTTCGCCCCGGCAGTGGTGCGCCAGCGTGCGCTGGGCGACTTCGCGCTCTTCAAGCGCGTGGTCTGCAGCCTGGGGCGGTTGGGCCCTCGGGCTCTGTGTGCCAAGCTGGCATGCGTGCACTCTGAGCTTCACGAGCTTTTCCCCGACTTCGCCGCCCTAGCTGCCCTGGCCTTGGCGTTGCCCGCTGGCGCCAGCCTATTAGACAAGGTCGGCCGCAGCCGAGAACTGCGGTGGTGGGGGCAGGGCGGGGCCGGGGAAGGCCGGTGCGACTCCGCAGTCAAAATCGCTGTGGATGGGCCCCCGCTGCACGAGTTTGACTTTGCACTGGCCGTGGAGTTCTTAGAGAGTGGGTGGGGGGCGGGGCTACTGAGCTCGCAGCTCATGCGAAGATGACCTCCTTCCCTCTACCCAGCCAGGCTGGGGTCCTGGGCACTCTAAAGACCAAGCTGGACTTGACGGTGCTGTACTCAAGCTGACCTACTAACTGTGGCCTTCCACCCACCTTCCTGTGCTTCCTCTGCTCCACGCTGAGTGCTAACCCAGCCCTGTGGGCTGTGGAAGAGGGACTGGGTCAAAGCAGGCCTGGGCCTCTGGGCAGAGATGCCGGGGTCTGAGGCACACTACAATATTGCTCCTGACCATTCTAGAGTGTGGTGAGGAGTAGCTTACCCTTTCCCTTCTGTATTCAGCCCACGTTTTGGCCCTAGACAAGTTGGGGGGTGGGTCTTGGTTGGAGGGAGGAAGTCTGAGGGAAAAGAGAATGGGTCCTTGCCTGTTTCTTAGCCCCGCTCCCAGTAGCATCTCTTCTCTTCAGATATGACCGGAGAGCAGATCACTGTTTTTATTTTTGACACCTTCTCTGTGCACAGCTGGTGGCCTGAGGGAGGTAGTAATGCCCTCCCTCCCCTACCCACCAATAGGCTGCCTGAGGCTATTCTGTATGTGACCGTGTATATAGACATACAAATCTATAAATGTGAAATAAATCTATCCTATCTTTCACAGTGTTAACACATAAATTTAAAAGTTCTTTTGGTATTGCAATGACAGGGTCCAAAAAAAGTCCCAAATGAACTGGATTTATTTCTAATTTTTTTCTCTGTACGTCTGGATGTTCCCCCAAGTTCATAGCCCTCCTCTCTCTCTGCCTCAGACCCTTAAGACCAAAGACTGTAAAACCAGTGCTGTACCCACACTGCAAGCCTGGCCCAGGGATGTTAGAGGGCGTTTGCCTTCTGCGGGAAGCAGTTAGGACCTCACCAGAGCTGGGGGAGACATCCTTTCAGATTCCATGGGCTTCCCATCCCTTCTATCAGCCCTTGCTCTGAATGATGTGGATCTGGATATGGAGAGGGAGAGTGAGTGAGAAGGGATGGAGGGACTGGCTTCCCCAGGCCTCCTGGGTTTGTATCTAATTTGCAATAAAATGGAAACCCAGCACATTATGCAGTCTCCATGGTGGTGTGTGTGTGTCGGGGAGCTTGCCCTGACGCCTCTGTCCCCTCCCCTGGCCTGATGCCCCTCAGGGGTTCATTTGGGCCTCTGTAGGAGTGGGAGGGTCACCCTTCGGGTCTGGGAGCCTTGCGCTGTAGGTTCCCTGCTTTTCCTTCACCAGAAGAGAGGAGAAGCGCAGAGGTGGGCTGTAATTGCCCAGGTGTGGTTAGTGCTCCTTTGCAAAAAGGGAGACAGGAGCTTCCGCCCTGGCTCCACACCCAAGCCCATCAGCCTCTCCTAGCTGTGGAGGTAGGCGAGAGCCCTGTGGCTCCTCGTGTCAGACCCTACCCTTCTTCCTCCTGCAGCAGGCCCAGCTTCCAGTGCCCCCAGCCCCCTGCTGGCCTCCCTGCCCCTGCCTGCCAGGCCTCTGCAGCCCTCGCTGGACTTCAAGCACTTGCTCACCTTCCACTTCAATGGCGCTGCCCCGCTCAGTCTCTTCCCCAACTTCAGCACGGTACGGGCTGGGCTGACGGGTGGGGCATGCAGCTGAGCTAAGGGTGGGCAGGGAGGGTGGGCTCAGAGGGCCAGCTCTCAGAAGCTGGCTTAGCCAGGAGCTCATTGTCCTCCCACATTCCCAAGTGACTAGGCACTCCCCAGACTGCTGGGCCCAGCTACCTGGGCTAGGGAGGGAGGATTATGTCCCCCCTACCCCAGTAACAACTGCTGGGCCTATTGGGTCTGTACTGTAGATTTCACTTGAGTTTCGGTGCAAAGACTTCTATCGATGATTTATGTATGCCGGTGTGCAATCAGGTGTGCCTTCCTGTTTTAGTTTGTGTCTCTATAGGTCTTTGTTGGTGTCCAGTGCGTGTGTGTTTGTAAACAACTCTTTGTGCCTGGTCATGTAAGTAACGTGTGTGCCTGTGTATCTGAGAGGTGTTTTGTGTCTTTGTGTCAACTATATATGTGTTTGGTGTATGTCTGACCTCTGAGTGAGGGTTTTGTGTGAGTGTGCATTTGTCTGGTTGTGCCATTTGTGCGCGTGTGAGTGTGTATCTTTCTGCATGTCTCTGTAACCTGTAATTGCCTGTAAGCTTATATGCTATCTGTCTGTATACTAGTCCATGTATTTCCATGTGTGCAGGTGTAGTGAGCATGAGTTTGATTTCACTGCATGAGCTATAAGGAGCCCCCCTTTTTTAATTTTGAAAAATCAAATGTAATCATTGACAAGCCCTATCTCATCCTTACAAGATGTTGGGAAATTCAGTCTCAGTCACCCTGAGGAATCCCTTCCTTCCCGCCCTCCAGGTCCTCAGAGGTCCTCAGGAGCCTGAGACATTGGGGGAGGGTCCTCTGGTCTTTGGTTTCTGCTGTCACTTACTGATGTGCTTACTATTCAAGTGCATGGTCCCTCAAGAGCAGGTGAAACCGCTGTTGTCCTCATCACTGGAGTCTCCGCAGGCCTTTCTCTGAGGTTCTGTCTCCTGCCGCCCCTGCCCTGGGCTCTAAGAGGGTTAGAACCTCTTTCTGTTCTCAGGAGGTTTTCTGGAACCATGCTTTTCTCTTAAAGCCTCTGTTTTCTTCTCAGGAAGGCTTGGAAAGTTCCTCTTAACAAGCAAGTCCAGACAGTTTATGCTTTTGGCCCAACAATCCAGGCCCTTGAGAAAAGGGAGCGTAAAGGCTTGGTTTGATAGAAGAAAAATATTTAAAATAAGGAAAAGAAAAAGACACAAATTAATACTCCCAAGAAATGATTCTATTACTCGGAGAACGCTCTATCCTCCACTTGCTGCCGCCTACCCTCTTCTGGCCCCCCACCTCTCCCTGGCCATGACCCTCACTCTCCTTCTCAGGCCCTGTGACAGTATCACAGCTCATGAGATAAGGCTGACCTTCCCCAGCCCACAGCGCAAGGCTGGGTTATGGGAGAGGAAATTCCAACAGAGAGACTCTTGGTTCCTTCTCTGCTTCTCCCTGCCCCCAACTCTCTGTCCTAATAATTGTGATTCTTGTGAATGAGAAAAAAACAGACCACAGGGATGGCAAGAAATGCCCAGGTGATCACCAGGACATGGTTCTCTCTCTCAAGATCATGGAAGTCACCCTGGCCACCTCCTGCCTCCACGCAGAAGCCCAGGCTAACAGATGAAGTCTGCCAGGGAAATGGTTGTTTCTTTTTCTGTGTCTAACATCACAAGGATGGGAAAGTTCTTCGTAGGGGCTGACCACTGCCCTCCTCAATAATCTTTAGTTTTTAGAATTTTGTGCTGCCCCCACCCTTTACGATTCAACCGCAGAGTTATTGTGCCCTCCCACCCCCTTCACAGATGGACCCTGTCCAGAAAGCTGTCATCAGCCACACGTTTGGGGTCCCCTCCCCTCTGAAGAAGAAACTCTTCATTTCCTGTAACATCTGTCACCTGAGGTTCAACTCAGCGGTGAGAGGAAGTAGTGGAAACAGGCTGGGAATGGGGCTGGGAGTGGAGAGGGCTGTACACTTGGTTTTGGGGTCTTTCCTGGAGGAACAGGGGTGGCAAAGGGATTGTGGTCTGTATTTTTCATCCCTGGTTGCAGAAGGAGCACGCCTGGTCGTTTACACATCCATCCTCTTCTCTCTCCAGTCATTTGCCCCTTCCCTCTCAAGTCCCTCTGGGACTCTATTTCCCTCCCCTATGTCTCTGTCTTGTGTTCTGGATCTTTCCAAGATCCAAGAGAGAAGACTGCCCTTCCTTTCTCACCCTGGGTCCCAGGGGCCACCCCATCAGCTCCTGGTTTGGAGCTGAGTTCTTAAAGCACCTGAGAGCTTACAGAATATGATCATGCCCATCATCTTAATTAGTTCTCATGATACATCTGTGAGATCGATAGAGGCACTGTTACCATCCCCACTTTTCAGATGAGGAAACTGAGCCTCAGAGAGGTTAAATGACTTGCCTGAGGCCACACAGCTGGTAAGTAGCAGAGCTGGGATTTGAACCCAGACCGAGCTGACCCCAAAGCCCACATACTTTCTACCACAGCCTGCCCCTAGATAGTGGAGGAGCCTCATTCTGGCCTCCCAGGGAAGATTCACCTTCTGTCTGGGCAACTCGGGTTTGCGGAGATGCTCTCAGCAGACCTGCTCTGACGAAAGCATCCAGGGAGTGGCTGCGGGGACTGTCTTTCCTGTGTTTGGGAGCAACAAGCAGAGACCTGTGGTTGAGGGAGGAAGGACATTTCCAGACCAGATTTGGGGGTCGCCTCCAGGCTTTCAGGTTACATGAGTTGTGCACAAACTGGACATAGAGACTTCACTCTGAGGGAAGGATCATGTCTTCTTCATGCTGGGCCCCTGGCACAGTGCTTGGCAAATAGCTAACGCTCAATAACTATTTGTTGAAAAAAGGAACACAGGGATGAATGCTCTAGGGTGAGGACTGCTTTGTTTCCTCCATTCGTGCATTTATAAACTTGGTCACTAACATTCATTAAGCACCACTGTATGTACGAGGCTCTTATCATTCAGGTTCTCATTTCATTCCCACAATCCCGTGAGGTCATTAGAAAGTTTATGGATGAGGAAACTGAGGCTCAGAGAGGTGAGGTGAGGTGGCCAAAGATGCACTGCTACTAAGTGGCCGATTCAGAATTCGAAACCACAGGCTGCTTGCCTGGGAGACCGTGTATGAGAATATGTTCTATAAACCTCAGGGCCACATATATACTGTAATGATGATGGCAATGACAACGATTCGTCTCTCATGTGGCCCGAGCCCTGCCTCCCTCTGACCTGCCCCCTGCCCAGCACCAACTCATCAACGGAGCATGTGAACACAGTGAATGAATGGTGACCCCATGCCCTCCCCTCCCAGAACCAGGCCGAAGCCCATTATAAAGGCCACAAACACGCCAGAAAACTCAAGGCTGTCGAAGCCGCCAAGAGCAAGCAGAGGCCCCAAACCCTGGCCCAGGATGGGACGCCGGTGTCCCCAACCCCAGCTGTGGCCAGTGGAGCCCCTGCAGAGATTCAGAGCAAAGGTCAGTCTTGAACTCTTTTCCCAGCTCCCCACTCCAAATCTGGTTTCTGACAAGGGACTGAGAAATTTCTGCTTATTATTTTTGCTTGTGTTGGAGTATTCCTACACAGAGAAAAAGGCACACACAAGTGGAAAGCCCAGTGAATTTTCTTGTCTGAATATACCGAGATCAAGAAACATCTCTCAAGCACCCAGAAGCCCTCCTCTGGCCCCTTCCAGTACTGCCTTGTCGTATTAACTTCCTAGGGCTGCTGTAATGAATGACCACAAATTGGGTGGCTGGAAACAACGGAAGCTCATTTTCTCATATTTCCCATATTCTGGAGGTCAGAAGTTTGAAATCAGGGTGTAGACAGGGTTGGTTCTTTCATGGGGACTCAGAGGGAGAATCTGTCCCATGCCTCTCTTCTGGCTTCCGGTGGTTGCCAGGAATCCTTGGCGTTCTCTGCCTTGTGGATGCCTCGTTCCCATCTCTGCCTCCATCTTCATGTTTCATTCTCCCATGTGTCTCTCTGTGTCTTCGCATGGTCTTCTTATAAGGATCCCAGTCAGTGGATTAGGGCCTACCCTAATCTAGTATGACTTCATCTTAGCTAATTACATCTGCAAAGACCTTATTTGCAAAATAAGGTCACATTCTGAGGTTACCAATGGACATGAATTTTGGGGTGACACCATTCAACCACCTACACCCCTCTCCCCAGGGTACCTACAATCTTGATTTTTCTCAGCATAGATCAGTTTCACTTGGTTTTGGTAAATCATATAGTATGTAGGCTTTTGTGTGACTTTTGTTCATCTTTCATGAACATTCATCAATATCATAAGATTCTTTCAGGTTGTTGCATGTAGCTATAGTTTATCTCTTTCCATTGCTGTGTAGTATTCCGTTGCATGACTACATGACTATATTTTAAAACTCTATTCTCCTATTGATAGACATTTAAATAGTTTCCAGTTTTATGGTATTATGAATAGGGCTCTATGAACATTTTAGTACTTTTTGGTGATTTCCACTTATGTAACAGTTAGCTAATAACTAGAATATCAGGGCTGCGAGGGCTTTCTGAGATCACTCTGTCCAACTTTATGATTTCAGATGGGGAAACTGAGGACCAAAGAGGCCCAAGTCTGCTCAGTGAGTTGGTTGGGAGAGTGGGGTCTGGAATTCAGTGGTGGTCATCCCTGCACTAGTGACTCTTCCACTCTGCCATGCCACCCCCAATATATCGGTACTTAAAATCATGGTCTCCAGAAACGTCTCAGGCCTCACTTACCCGATGCCTTCCATCTCCCCAGCAGTTCCTGCAGCCCCTCCTCCTGGCCACCCACTCCAGCCACCACTGACTCTCAATCCAACGCCCAGGGAGCCAGCCCGCTCAGACCTCTTGGATGCTGGCTCTTCTTCTTCTTCTTCTTCTTCTTCTTCTTCTTCCTCCTCCTGCCCACCTTCCTCCCCAGAGCCTGGGAGAGAAGCACCAGGGCCTGAGCCGGCGGCGGCTGCTGTGGGAAGTGGTGTGAGTGGGGAACGCAGGAGTGAGAAGGGGCGCCTCTACTGCCCCACGTGTAAGGTGACGGTGAACTCCGCCTCCCAGCTTCAGGCTCACAATACAGGTCAGTGTGCCCCATCAACTGAAGTCTGGGGAAGGAGACAGACAGGGAGGCTGCCCCTCAGCAAATGTGGGCAGGCTAGAGGTTCTGGGCACTTTGCTCAAGGGCTTGGTGACAAAGGTGTTGTGCTCAGCTGTTATTGGGTGGGCACTTCAGGTCCTCCTGCTAATGCTTGAGGAGGGAAGAGAAGCAAGAACTGAAGGATCACTCCAGAGAAGACAGGGACACCTTCTTCATCTCTCTTTAGGTCAGACCCAGAGGAAGGAATTAAGATGAGGGAAGGGAAGCTGACCAGTTACACTGCAAGAAGGCCTTCCTTGGGGGAGGTTGGCTTGAAATGAGAGAGGGATCTTGCAGGGATGGGAGGACCTTGCGGGGATGGGAAAATCTCATGTGGCTGGCAGGGAGTGTATGTGCTGAGCAGCCTTGAGGCTAAAGGGACAACCAAACTGACCTAGTTTGGAGGGGTCTCCATGGCCCTTGCAGCCCCTCTTCGGTGCTGACAGGCTGTCTTCCTTCCTCCCTCCAGGAGCCAAGCACCGGTGGATGGTGGAAGGTCAGCAAGGGGCTCCCCGCAGGGGCCGGAGTCGCCCAGTGCCCCGAGGAGGAGCTGGACACAAGGCCAAGAGAGTGACTGGGGGCCGGGGGACCCGGCAGGGGCCCAGTCCCCCTTTTCACTGTGCCATTTGTCAGCTCCAGGTCAATTCAGAGACCCAACTCAAGCAGGTGGGAGAAGGGAGGCTGGGATTGGGGGCGAAGCAGGGGTAAGAGGGTAGGACCAGTGCCAGGGTAGGAGATAGCTTGAGAAGAGAAGGTTTGTAGAGCAGAGCCAGAGGGAACAGATGGAGGAAGAGGAATGAGGCTAGTGGGACACTGGGCTCCTGGAGGTCAAAGGCCGATTCTTACCTCCCCTTCCCAGGGCCACTCCAGGTGATGCCCAGTAAATGTAAGTGTGTGAACTGTGGGTAGAAAGGGGTGAGCTAGTCGAGGGTGATGAGGTAGTTGGGGGTCCTTGGGCCTCCTCATCTTGTTCCCAGTCTGTCTGTCTGTCCATTAGCACCTGAGCAGCAGGAGACACAAAGACCGCCTGGCCGGGAAACCCCCCAAGCCCTCCAGCCAGCACAGCAAGCTGCAGAAGCACGCAGCGCTGGCTGTGAGTATCCTCAAGGTATCTGTCTCCAGGCAACAGGGCTGGGACCCTGGTCAAGATTGGGGGTGGGGGGAGCGGGAGCTAGCCGGGATTGGGGGAGGAATAAAGCCACCCCTCTCCTAGGCTGCCTGGGCAGATAAAGAGCTGGGGTTGTGTTTTCGGCTGTCTTGGGATCTGCCCAGAGGAATTTCCGGGGAGGTGGGCCTGGGTAGGAATCTCAGGGGCAAGAGCAAGGGGTGGGCGTGCATCTCCTAGAAACCATCTCTACCCCCACCCCGCACAGCCTCCTCCCTTGGCCCATCCTGATTCTCCTCCCTCTGGGCAGGAAGACAGGTGGTGGAGAAAGCCCTTTGGAATGAATGTTGGGGTGGGGAGGATTTAGGTTTGGAACCCTAAAAGGCACGTTTTTCCTGCAGCAAAAAGCCCAAGGACGGAGCCCAGGGAGGGAGGATTTTCTGGGGTTAGAGCACTGTGTCCAGTCCTCTCTCTCTTCTTTGCAGTCTAAACTGGCCTTGCAGAAGCAACTCACCAAGACGCTGGCAGCCCGCTTCCTGCCCAGCCCAATCCCCACAGCGGCCGCTGCCATCTGTGCCCTGCCAGGGCCCCTCGCCCTCAGGCCTGCCCCCACAGCAGCCACCACCCTCTTCCCAGCTCCGATCCTGGGCCCAGCTCTGTTCCGCACCCCAGCAGGAGCCGTCCGCCCTGCCACAGGACCCATCCTCTTCGCCCCCTATTAGCCCTCCTGGGGAGGCCAGGGCTGACTTCCCAGCAGCCACTCTCCCCACTCTCCTCTCCCTGAGATGCCTCGGTTCTTACATCCCACGGGGGACTGCCTTTTATAGCCTAGGAGTTCCTGAACAATCTAGGAAGAGCTGGGCTAGCTTTAAGGGCCGCTGCCCTTTGCTCCAACTGGACTGGGGATCAACTAATATCCCCCTAGCCCAAGGGCCAAGCCCACTCTCATTTCCCAGGCCTTCTAGGGCTAATTCTGGGCTCCCCTGCATTTCCTGGCCTGATTTATGGGGAGCAAATAGAAATCCCAAAGATCTATGCAAAATCCTAGCCCAGCCCCATGGTGCTATTTTCCCCACTCAAGACCTAAACTTGCATGGCCAGGGGCCCTAGAAATCTTAACTTCTACCCTGGGGATGTCTGTGACCTCTACTTCCATGCCCTGGGGAGGCCCTCCCTGCCTCACTGAATTCTGTGGAGAGTGACTGGAGCTGAGAGATGGGCTCTCAAGCTGGAGTGAGTTCAAGGCTATCTGGAAAAAGAGACCATGGGGGTGTGGTGGACTGGAAAAGAAAGGGAGCAGTGCCAAGGTGGAGCAAAGCCATGGCAGGGGCCGGTGCTGAAAGCTTTAGGGGTCTTCATCTGCTCCAATGGAATTGGGCTAGGACAGGGGTGGTGGTGATGTTCTGGCTGGACCCAGTTTCAATAGAGGAAGTGACCAGTCCTCTCTTAGCCTTTTGATTCCTTCTGAACCCCAGCTCTGGGGTGGGGGTACTGGGTCTCTCTCAGACTACGGACCCAGCTAAATTGAATCCCCCCAGGGCTCCCAAATGAAGAGCTTTCTCCTCTAATTCTTCACCCCAAACTGTTCCCTGGAACTAAATTCAGCTTTTCTTCCTCCCAACCAGCACCCTAAGCCCCCCTCACTGTGAAGCTGAGTGCTGGGATCCAGTCTGATAACTCTAAAAGAGCCACGTTCACACTGTCAAGGTTAATGTCACAACCTCCATCCCACCCCAGCACTACCCCCCTCACCCCACAATATGGGACTTTGCCAGTATCCACCTGTATCTATTTTTTAAGATATTTCCAATGGGAGAACAAGGAAAAGGGGGGGAGGAGAGGGAAACTTTTTGATAACAGTTGTGGTTTTATTGTGTCCGATGCATCAATAAATGAACTTTAAGCCCGAGCCTGTATACGCCCTAACTTGACTCACCCTATCCTGGGCCACCTTCCCCCGTTCACTTCTCCTGTTTGGGGGAGAAGAGTCATGTATTAGAGGTCGCCTGGCTATAAGGGCTCACCTATGGTAGCTGTCTCCATGAGAAGCAGCACAAAGCGGACACAGAAAGTTGTGGGTCATAAGCTCACTTTATAGCATGGTGAGAGTGTAACCACCCTTCTGAGCCCCAACAGATCCGTCAGCTTCCGAGAAGCTATTTGTTTGCCTTGTTCTGTTCAGGCATCTGAGGTAAGAAGGGCTAGAGGAGCACCTTGTCCAGCCTTAACCATGGCAGCATACTAATTTATAACAGGTAATTTATAAATAAAGTCCAGCTCTTAGCTGGAAACAACCACAGGAAGGGGTGAAGACCAGCCCCCATGGGTGAGGTTCCCCATTGGGCACTGAGCAGTCGTTCTGTCAACTAGAGCAGATAGTGCACTCCTGCCCCATAGTGGTTGGTGGAAAGCAGTGTTTCAGCCTCTAGGGCTGGTAGGCATAGCACCTTGGAAGAGGGAGAAGCAAACGGTAGTCATAACCGGCCCGAAGCCATGAGCATTATGAAATCACAGGGCTGGAGAGGATCTAGAAGTTCATCTAAGCAACTCCTGTCACTTTACAGATGAGAAAACTGAAGCCCAGAGAGGGAAAAGGCTTGCTGGGTCACAAAGCCCACTGGCGACAGCCCTGTCATCATTCCATTCCACGTCAACTAATAAGGCCCATCTGCTCCCTGAGCAGGAATAGGAAGTGAAACAATTGGGGGAAGAGGTCAAATAGAAAATCACACTTCCCAGGAGGCTGGCTTCCAGCCAAGGTAGAGACAAGAGGAAGGTCAAGGTGCTGGATGAGGAGGCACCCCTAACACCAGCATGCACACACATACGCGATACCTGGACACCCTTTCCCTAGAGTCCAGGCTGTTGCCATACGCACGTGTGTGTGTGTATGTCATCGACAGAGGCTCAGAGACATGGGACCCCTGTGACTGAAACCAGACCCTAGACTGGGCACTTCTGCATGGTAACTATGCTTCCCATCCAGGATGGGTTGAAAGGACACTGACTCACAACTGCCCCTGGTCACAGCAGGGCAGATATGATGAAAGCAGGGATGGAGAAAGAGGTTGGGGGTGCTAACCTAGATTACTTGCACTTCCCGGAGTTGGGAGGAAACAAAAGTGTCCCGAGCCTGGGACAGCCCAGCTGCCAGGCCTAGCAGGGGGTCCCCTTTCCCCTCAACCCCTCTTCCAAAGCCTCAGAAGCTGGACTGAGGCTGGGAAGGTGAAGAAGGGATGGCAGCTCCTCAGCCATCCAAGGAGCCACTGCCTTTGTTCTTGCGGCTGAGGGGGAAGGCAGACTTGCTTTGGGGCTGGGTCATCTTGCTGGCCAGGTAGACGAAGGGCTCCAGGAGGGAGCGGCGGTCAGCCACCGATACCTCCCACAGCTTCACCTTCTCCGACTTGGCCCAATGCTGAGCCACATCTGGGTCCACACGCCGCTGCTCCTGCAGGTCACACTTGTTACCGAGGACCACGATGGTGACCTAGGGAAGAGGGACAGAGTCGAGGTCTGTGGATGTTCCATGGACCTCGGGAATTAGTGTGAGGGCTCCTGTGACCACGCAGGAGTCCTAGGAAAAGGAAAGTCTCAGGGCTGATGTCTCATCTCTTTCTGCATTAGAAACCACAGACTAAGGAGAGGGAAAATGGTTGCTTTTTCCTCTCCTTCCTCTGTTCAAATCCTGGCCTCCCTCTTATTCTCCCTCCACAGTTCCATTATAAGCCCTGTATCACCCATGACTGCTCATGACTAGCAGTCAGTCAGTTTCTGGCTAACCAACTGATGAGGAAGCATTCCCAGAATACCTGCAGCTTAAGGGGGCATTTGAGAGTAGAAGGGCCTTCACGGCTTATAGCACAGAACCATTATAAGAAAAGACTAGTGAGTGTTTCATGTGTTAGGTCAGGGATCTCTTAACCTGAAGAGAAACTTCTATAGTTGAGCTGCCTCAACATGAAGCCATCTCTAGGGATAAAGACACCCTCCAGTGGCCTCCACTCCCCCTCTAGCTCTTAACGCACCTCCTGACAAATGAATGAAAAACAGAGCCATGCTAAGCATCCCAAAGCCAGCCCAGGGCCTACTCTCTCACCGCTGGGCTCCCACACACACCTCCTTCTTGTCCTTGGATTTGTCGATTTCCTTCTTGAGCAGCTCCACACGTTGAAAGGACTCTCGGCTGTCTGTGCTGTAGACCAGGACGTAGCCGTCAGTGCAGGAGAAGCAGTGTCGGGGCAGTTCGGCCCCATCTCGGAGCCCCCGGGTGTCGTAGAAACGCACCTGCTCCCGCACCCCCCGGTCGGTCTCAATGGAGCCCACGTAGATGTCTTCCTGCGTCTCAATCATCTCAGAACCTGAGATGAAAGGAAGAGAAAACTTGTTTGTCAGGAAGAGGGAGATGGGACATGTAAGTGATCGAGCATATCCCGACAGGCTGACCAAACAGGAAGAGGGAAAGGAATGTGGCGACTGAAGAGAGAGGGCGAGACAGTCCAGCAGGACTGGAAGGGTTTGGGGAACAGACATTAATCTCGTGTTCATACCATTTAAAGCAAGTGTGACCTGGGAGCTTTTCCTCCTTGTCTCAGATATTGGGCTTCCTTCCTCCAGATCTCAGTGTTGCAGGGCTTAGGGGCCTGATTTTATCTTTGGGGTGCAATAACCACTAGGAGCGGCTTTCGGCCTCCATGTGCTGTCATCAGATACTATTCCTTATTCTTCAACTTCTTCCATCATTCCCCAGCTCCCAACAACACTCACCTACTACATGGTTCCCGTACAGGAGCTGCTCCAGGATTGACGTTTTGCCCACAGATGCCTGGCCACACACGACCACCTTGCAGCTTTTCCCCATGCTTAGCCTTCAACCCTGAAAAACAGAAGTACACTGTGTGAGGTGGGATCAAAACAAAGGTCAGACCTCCCATAACTGAGAGCCCAAGTTCTGAACTGCACACATTGCCTCTGGGATTCACCACCCCCTACTCTAATCAGGGTGTATGTCAGAATTATATGACTATGTCCACCACTGGACAGGGGGCTGTTTCTTATTCATCTTTGTTATTCCCAGCACCTGGCCAGTAACTGGCACAGTGCAGATGCTCAGTAAATTTTGCCATGTAGGGGGAAGACAGTCGCTAATTTAAATGAATCACTGGCCACGTTCCTCTATGTACACAGGATGCGGAGATAGATTAGATAGATGATAGATAGATAGATAGATAGATAGATAGATAGATAGATAGATAGATAGATAGAGATAGATGATAGACAAAGGTGTAATTATGTACATACACGCACAAACACATCTTTATTAGTTGTTTCTCTAGAGAACGCCGACTGATACAAGGAGAATAGGAAACGAATACACTCATTTTACAGAAGAGGGCCCTGGTCTAGAGAAGTAAAGTGAACTGACAAAGCTCAAGGAGGACCAGTTGCTGAAGGGGGCTCAGGCTCAGCTTCCTCCTTTTAACCATGACCCCATGGAGAAATAAGCAGTAATATTATTTTGTGTGGCTCTGTCTTAAGCTCCTCTTCCTGGGGAGAGTGAACAAAGGAGAATATTTTGCTTTCCTGTATGACTTATCAAAACAACAATTAATTTCTTCTACTTTCTAGTCAAGTCCATGGTTAAGATACAGATCATCAGGTGAGAAAGGAGGACGGAACCTAAGGGAAAAAAGGCTCCAGAAAAGAGGCAATTTTTGCTGCCCTTGAACTGACAGATCCAGATGAGACAGCTCAGACACAGAAACTCCTGCTCCAAAGAGGTCTCAGAGATTTCCTCGAAGGTATCACAACGCAAGTTTCCCGTAAGAAGCTCCAGATTCTCCCAGAGAGCAGAGATACCGAGATCACTCCCAAAAGGAGTCCCAAACAGAAACCTCTCCGGAGTAAACTCCTAATACAGATCCACCTCCCTTTGCCAGAAAGGCCCCTTATAGTGAGCCCCGCAATTAACGGATACCCCAAGAAAACATCCGGCGGTGCCTCCGCCATAGATTTCCAGAGGGGACCCCCAGAGGGAATCAAAAGCAGTAAAGATCTGCCACCTAAGGCAGCCCTGATGCGGTGGCCAATCCCGGCCTCCCAGCTCCGTACCTCCCGGGGTCCTCGCAGAACCCCGGCCGGGCCCCCGGGACCAGCGGAGGAGCAGCACGGCCGTTCTTCCGGGTCAATCCGTGCTGGGTCGGGGCGCACCCCCAGCTTCCGTCCCGCAAGACGAATTCCGGAGATGGAGAGAAGGTGCCGCCGGCACAGCGCCCCCAGAGACCGGCGGGGCAAATGACGGCTGGGAAGGGGCTGCTGGTACGCAGGATCACACAGTTCTAGGCTCCCTGCATGCAGCTGGGGTGCCGTTCTGGTTTATATGATACTCAAATGTTCTTTC